ACTATATTATAAAGCATTTGACAAAAACTCTTAAAAATCATTTTTTATGTATGAAGTATTGTTTATTGATGAATATTACTTAAAATTCAAGATTACAAATAAACTGTATGCAAGTACAATTTATTAAAGCTTCATGTTTGAATTCGTGTACCTAACTTCAGGTAAACATAATCAAATAGAGGATAAACATCTCATTTTAAATATAAAAAAGAACTAAAATATAATTAGGACAATCATTGAGTTCTAACAAAATACTTAGTTATTATCTTTATAAAAAATTATATTATTAAACCGAAAATTTAAAAAAAATTTAAAAAAAAATACATAAAAAAAGGAGAAATTTTAAGTACTTAGTTTGGTACTATATCAATATATTTTTTTATTTTTTATGATACCTTCCTATTTAATATTTTATTCAAAAATAAAAACATYATCTATTTCTCAAAATCACATAAAACCATATCGATTAAGACAAAAAAATGAAACACTAAAATCGAGTTATATCTCGTTGTATTGTGCGAGTACCCTTCTAATGTATATATATATATATATATATATGTATGTGTGTGTGTGTCAAATGTTGTTTAAATTAATTTTTGATATTGTTCAACCAAATGCATTATATATTATGAACAAAAAATGACGTATGTGCATGCGTACCATACATCATGTGAAGAAGCTTCTTCCACCCTCTCCATTGTTCTCCTACTTTTTTTTATTGTCCTCAAATTGAAAACTTTATTTTATTTATGAAAATTATGACAACTTTCTATAAGATGTGATCATATTTACTTTGAGTAAGTTACAAAAATCATCCCTGTAGTTATATGATAGTTATGGGTTGAGCCTTAGTTAGTAGTTACTATGGTTTCAATTTTTCTACAGAATAGATAGCTGCCTCTAACTCCGTTAGATGTGTGTCTGTTAAAGCTTGAACATCATTTTTGTACTTTAGCTCGAGTTCCATAACAATAATGTTCGACTCGATTCGTTCGAAAACTCGGTTAAGCTTTACGGGTCCAGTCCATCCGAACACACTTTTTTGAGCCAAACTTTTTTATATGCTTACAAATTATATAATGAAAATATAAAAATTATCGAGCTTGAGTAAATAAAAGAGTTAATTGGTCTCGAATTCGAGCTCAAAAACAAGCATCGCGTTCAAGCTAAAACAGTGAAAAAATATTCAAGCTCGAGCCTGATACTACTTTTTGAAGCCGAGCTCGAATAACTTACTACCTGACTCGACTCGATTACATCCCTATCCGCGAGGTCGGTTTTTGGTTGCCAAAGCTGACCTTAATTGCATCTTTTGAAGTCTTCGGGTGATAACATACAAAAAGGACTAACAATCAGAGGATGTACTGGAATTCTTATTTTTTCCGTGGGGGTTCAGATGTGACGACTCCAAACCATTTATAGTCGCCGGGGGATTTGTTAGTGCACGTAAGCCGACCAGGAAACCCCACGTTTACCCGAACAAAATAACAAAGAGAATCCTTCCATACCACAAAATTAACACACCAAATTCTCAACAAAAAAAAACTACTACACATTACAAAACAACATCAGCATACAAAGACAAGTTGCTTTTTGCAAACAACGTTACTACTTACTACAACAAGCACAAGCGGCTGCTCGTTACAACATCGATAAACGAACGACACGAAGGTTTGAACTTCGATAAGCACAAAAGACGGCTAATAACACGACAAGAAACCGTTACGCCTTACCAAACCTTTTCCTAAAAGACGCAAGAAGGTTTTGCCTTGGAGGTAATATTTCCTTAAYGACTTGGCAGTTTACGAAGTTATCAGCCCATTCGGTTAAYTTTGGAAACTTATCTTTCGTGACCAATTTGATTTCAGTTACTTCTTCGATTACTCCAAGCCAATACGCTATGAAATCAGCGGTGATATCAACGAGGTTAATGTTGTCACCTCCGAAGAACTTGTTACCTTTGACAGAAAGTTCATTTTCTAGTATCTGAAGTTGCTCACAAGCTTCTGCCATGGCTTGCTCACCTTCATTGCTGCTATAAACCTTGAATAGTGCAGGCATACACTGAACATAACATATGATGAAAATCAGTTCTGGTTCTATGTCAAATAAATTATTTCCAGCCCAAAGAAGAGTTAGGCGCCGTTTACTAAACACTTGCTTGGTAAGTATAAATTTCCTCATCGGATGAACATGAGAAGGGTCAAGAATCTTACCGGTAAGAGCGATGAAAATGATGTAGAGTCTTACCCGGTAAGTGAGGATGACGACTCTTACCCAAGTAAGCGCTTACCCACTAAATTGTTGCATTCGATATGTTTTAATATACTAAAATCTTACTCATCAAAATAAATCATAGTGTTGATTCCAATCGGTAAGCGCTTACTGGATAAACAATTGGGTAACCGAACTCTTAGCCAGCATGTTGTCATATATTGCTAAATTAATTAGCTCATAAAGGAAAATCAATTCTGCCAAACTAAATGTATGTTTATAATATATGGTTATATGCACCTTTTAATTCCTAAGACTTAAATGATATTGTTAGAATGGGATTT